TGCGGCACAACACTTTTTCTCACACGGGTTATAGAACAGAACAAACGCGGCATCCAGATCTTTGATGAATTTCCTGAAGGTTTTCTTCTTGAGTCCAACAACAGCGCCAGATTCCACGTAAGGATCGGGGGGTCCCTGTTTAGCGAAAGGATTACGGCTGTGGAGAAAATCTGGTTTAATTCCTACGGAAGGAAATAGCGAGTGGTATGTTGGCGGGTTTCTGGGCGGCAGAGGTGGAATCCATTCATGCGTGCTCGCGAACGAATTATCGCCCTCGATGCCCTCGTAAATGTGCCCAGAGTCATTACTGAGCATGGAGTCATGACGCCTGTTCTCAGCCTGGCTGAGTTTACGCCTTCCTGGAAGTGATCCAAAGATTGGCGATTCCGAATCTCGGAGGCCTGCGACTGGTGTACGTGGAGTCGAGGATCGTAGACTGTTTGGCGATGAAGGCTGTTGTGGGTGTAGAGGTGGTGAGGCTGCAAACGATGTTGGCAGGGATGAGTCACTGTATCGACCCTCTGCCATCTTTGAGGTGTCGCAAGTATTTATATGGGAAAACTGGGTTGGGGAGGCAGATGTGAGAACAGAAACGTTACGTAGAGTAGATGTATCAATGATATTTGCTAGAAGAAGTAAAAGTTATTAGCAGGAAACTTAATATTTTATTTTTTTATCAGTTCGCGTCACCAGACAAGGTAAATATCTGGTAACTGGTAAAGTTGAAATGAAGGCAGTCTCTTAGGATCTGATTTCTGTAGTAGGATCATTGAGCATAATTAGGGCCGTCATGGCTGTATGGACAGTGAGCTAATGTTCCTACCTCTCACCTACGTTGCAGTGCTCATGACACCGGCTCAGGTCCGTGACAAAGTCTATTTCTCTTTGGCTACTTCCCAGTTGTATGTCGAGTTCCTTCTGGCTGAAGTTTTCAGGGACGAAAGGCCGTGTCCCGGCCTAACGGTAGCACAACAGTGCACCATGTATCCACACTGTGACGTTTGCGTTGATTGTGTGGTTTCTGTGCTGTTCTGTGCTCTCCACTTCTGGCGCGCATGTTGTTTTAGCCGGCACCACTTGGATCAGAGTAGGACAAGAGCACAAACTTAGACCTATAATGTCCTTTCTGAAGACTCACGGGATCGATCAGTGTTCACACGAAAGTAAACTTCATAGACAGGGTAATAACCAAAACGCCTAGACCGGAACGCCTCTAGTTAACGACAGCGGCATGCAACGAAATGGTTAGTTATTTAGTTGGCTTATCATAACTGCACTCCGGACCTGTCCATAAGTGCTCAGTTCTTTACCTCGGTATGAACACCAGCGTCCGGTGGCCAATAGTACCAGTTCTGTGTTGATCAACAATTCCTCTGATGTCTTCTTCTTCTTCACTTCCTATTTTACCGCTGTGGGTGTCTAGGGAGAGATAAGTTTCTGTTTCTGGCTCTTTTGGCCGCCTCGACCATAGGCACATCGTGCTGTTCTAGAGCTTCTCTGATGTTATCCTTCCATCTTGTTCTTGGTCTACCTCTTGCTCTACGACCTTCTTCTCTTTCCATGTATGCTTTGTATGGTATGGTGTCACAAGGCATTCTCTCTAAGTGGGCAAACCATTTCACTTGCTGTCTTTGTATGCAATTTAGAATGGGTCTGTGCCGACTTGTTCTCTTATGATCTCATTCCTGATCTTATCTCATGGTCACTCCTACAGCCCTTCTCAGACATCTCATTACTCTGATGTGCCTGGTGTATTTTTCATTTTTCTGTTGTTGTTGCTAGGTTAACGAAGACTTTCACCTCAAGGCTCAAGAAATGTTGGACTTCTTCCGGCTACGAGGGTATCCCGAACATGTCTTACCTGCTGCCCTTTACAGAGCACGGTCTATTCATCGTGCTGAGGCCCTCGTTTCCAAGCCTAAACGTCACCACAACAGACCTATTTTCCCACTAAACTACCACCCTCACACCATCCGTGCTAGAAATATTCTCCTCCAGCTTCTCTCCGTCCTTAGGGCTGACCCATCTACCAATAAGGTCTTCTCTGAACTTCCACGAGTGACCTACAGGCATGACAATAACCTCAAGGACATTCTAGTTAAGAGTCCATTACGTCCTACCTCCGAGTACAACTTTGGAACGGTCTCTTGCCACAGACCTGTATGCAGGATCTGTCTATATGTGGTTCAGGCTACCAGCCTGGAATTCCCGAATGCCATGTCCCACAGATTTGAAGCCTTCTATTGCCCGAGCTCTAATGTCATTTACGCCATGAACTGCAAGAGATGTGGCATGAAATACATCGGTGAAACGGGTTTACGACTGGCTGACAGGTTCAGACAAAATGTTTTGGACGTGCAGAATGGTGCTCTGAAACCAGTACCACAGCATTTCAATTCCCGTGACCACCAAGGCGTCCTCGACATGGAGGTGATAGCCATTAAATCTAGCCACTCCAGCAACAGACTTCTCAAGTCTCTTGAACATCGGTTTATTTACACCTTGAAAACTCTGGCGCCCAGTGGACTTAACTGCCAACACAGCTTCCTCTAAATCCTAGAGGGCTGAACTGCCTACAAAGTTTCTCTGAGTGACGGCCTCTGGCATATCCCTGGGTATTAAAGTTCCCGGCCCCACATGCCTCGCCAGACTATTGTCTTGACATCGTCCTTGCTGCCACGAAAAACGAAGATAAGTGATATTGTGTATTTGTGTAGTATTGTCCAATCTTTGTATGTGCTGAATCTCCATAGCCGCAACGATCACGTTCTGTTTGTGTTTGTTATACTGTGAAGCTCGCTTATATACTTTCCTTTGGTTTTAAATCTTTCGCTCTTGTGTGTGTGTGTGTGTGTGTTTGTGTGTGTGTGTGTGTGTGTGTGTGTGTGTGTGTGTGCTTTGCCGATCTTAACTCCCAAGTCTACCTTTGTGGCGAGTGTTGTGAATTCACTGCTCTCAAAGTCCTCCACCCTCCCACATCTCAGAGGGCACTAATAATATCAGCGTGATCTATAGTTTGACCGTCTGTAGTGATAGCAGATCCAGCCAACCTATCAGCTCTTTCACTTCCATCGATACCCGCGTATCCCGGGAGGAAATTAAAGTCACTTCACACAGAGTGAACTTCTGTAATAATGTTCTGAACAAATGAGCAATCTGATTGGCTTGCAGGCAACGTCCAATTAAAATACGCACAACAAGCACACACTTAGGGCCTTACGACAGGAGTAAGCCCACCGACATTTCTAATGCTCCTAAATTGTCTAAATTGTCTGTGGTGCTCCCAGAGCCGTCTTAACATCATTATCGGCCCCTGGGCGAACCAGAGAGGGTCAGTTTTCTTTGTAACATTAATGGTCGACGTTTGGTGCAGGAGAGCCTAGCATATGATACCACAACATCCAGCTTAAGAATGGAGGTGGAGGCGGTCACTGCAGCTTTCCGCTGGCCAGAGAACACAACACACACACACACACACACACACACACATTGTTATTGTAACTGATTCAGAAAGCGCCCTGATTAAGATCAGAACTGGTATGCTTCGTGAAGATTGGCATGCTTCGCTGCGGGGGACACGAGTGACGAGTATTGTCTGGATTTTTTCACCGGGTGACGCCGGTGTGTTAGGAAATGAACTGCACAACTTGGTGGAATACTGCTACATGATAGGGCAGACGTGTTTAGTGCCTTGTGGGAGAGCGTGTACAGTTCGGAGGAGCAGATGGATCACCACAGTCTGGTGAGATTGATGCAGTTGGGGGTGACGAGAGGTTCTGGCAGATGCTCGAGGCTCAGAGGAAGGGCAAGACAGACAGCTACTGGCACTATTAGTTTCGGAACTCTTCGCTGGCTGCTGAAGATGGGGACGGAGCGCTTATGGGAATGCCCCGAGTGCTGTGATGTCGGTTCTTAAATCAAATCACATCAAATCAATCATGGTCTCAAATTTCCCAGCTGAAGTACATTAAAAATCCCATAAGACCAAGGCGGGTTGGAGCCTTGTCTCCATTAGGCACAGACACAGATTTGTTAGAACAGATTAGTTTTGGGGAGCTGATGACTGACTTTGCAATTAAAAAATGTCCGAGAAAACGTTTCCAACATACATAAAATAGAAGAATACAAAAAAAAAAAAAAAAATTGTTTCCATCTGACGGAAAGTTTGTTTCTTCCTCTTCAGATTTCCGAGCCCAGGCCAGAAGGAAGAATACAACAGATTTCTATCTGACGCCATAGTTTTCTGTCATGTAACTTCTCTAACATCGGGTCTGTGGCTAAGTCAATGCGAACGCTTCGTAATGCCGGGATGCCGGGTTCGATCCCAGCTGCGGGCCATGCGCCTTGCGTTGGTTTCGACAGTGGTATAAAAAAAGCCGACCGTCCAGAGGCAATGGCAAACTACTGGACGTAAATTTGTCTTGAAAAACCACACAACAACCAGGGGCTGTTAGGGTTGGGTCTGCAACGTCCTGTACAGGATACGCAACTAACGCTCTTCTGTAACATCCCACCTTCTGAAGTGTGCATGGTGATTGTCCGACAGCGTTGAACTAGCGTGCAGTCTTTGCCAGGCTTTGGTAGAGTCTCGGCTAGCCGCGTAAAAGTAAGTAAAGGACCCTATTCCACGCAATCAGGCGTATAGGGCATATAGGGCTAGACCTATATTTTTCATAGACAAATCGGCACAAGATGGGTGATATGGTCAGCATCACGCCGGCCACCTTTACTTTCCCGGGGCTGCACCCGGTACCGACTCAAGGCTGGGTCGACCTGGGAGCCAAGGTCCTTCTTGAAAAAAAAAAGTCCGGCTGCGCCAGGGAGCGAACTCACGACCTTCTGATCCACGACGAGCGTCTAGCCGCTGGGTCACGGCGACTAGTTGCCGCGTATCACCTCTCAAATCTGCCAGCTGCTCTTGTGCTGTAAGCAGTGTTCTGAAAGGGCCTTGCCCTTATTTGAGTCGGTCCTCTGTCACGTGAGGTCAGCACTCTAAACAACCTCTGCTCGGCCATGATGAAAAAACGGAACACCGTACACAGGTTCGGTAGCCACATACGCTGGAAGACTCAAATATTGTGTCGCGCAGATGCACCACTCTTTAGCACCGGGAGGAAATGTTTTAGAAAAGGAAACAGTGAGTGTGTCTGCTTTTTTTGTGTGTGCAGCACACAGGTCCAGTGTTGCCACTTTGGATCTTTAATATCCAAATTTAGATCTTTTTCATTGCATTTAGATACTGTTTTTGACGTTTAGATCGTAAATATTTTTCTAGAAACTTTTCTTATGGAGTTAAATATTTTATAGATTTTTTTCTTTCATTGTCAATTTAATAATTACTGTGTAAAATATTTACTACAATATTTTTGTTTTGGTCTGGCACGTACATTGTGACAACTGCCATTTATTTAAACTTTGAACTCTCACTGGGGTCAACGCACAAATATCTGGCAGCCCCGGTACTGATTAATAAAAACGCGCGTTAATCATACTAACTTTGTTTCAACCGTATCCTCACTGTGCTGACTTTGTGTTTCTTTTTCATGTGATTTAAAAAAAATAATTGCTCACCTTCTTATGTGGCTTTCACTTCGAAAAAACCTTTCAACATGCCAAAAGTAAAGTATGAGCAAAACATTTTGAAAGAGTGGTTGCATGATGACAAAATTAAAAACTGGGGATATGACCAAAGCTTGTTGTAAGTACTGCAAGTGTGAAATTAAAGCGAAAATACAAAACTCAAAGAGCCATGCAGAGACTAAAAAAGCATTAAACTGCAGTTTCATTTAAAGATATTACACCGCTGACATCTGTTTTCAGAACTATACTGATAAATGAATTATCAAAAGTTGAAGTATCAGTGGCTATGTTTTTAATTTGTCACTACGCAATTTCAAACTGTGACCATTTGATCGATTTGTAAAAAAATCTTGGACTAGTTCAATTTGAAAAGTGTGACGTAAAAGTATAGTTTAGGAACTGAAGGACCTTTTAATCAGCAAACAGTTAGGCTTGAAGAATGTGGCTGTAATTGGTACTGATAATGCCACAGTGATGGTTGGTATAAACAATGGTGTTTATGCCAAGTTGAAGGAAGCTAACCCATCGTTAATACTTATAAAATGTATGCGTCATTCATTGCAGCTAGCATTATCACATGCTTCATCTAAATATTTACCAAGGAATTTGGAATACCTTATTGCTGAAACACTTTACTGGTTTTCCAAATCATTTGTCAGACAACAGCAATACAATACATTATATATCCTTGAATGATGGTTCCACACCACCGAAAATTCTGCCTACTGTTCCATTTATAAAGAATCTGTGGGATCTGAGAGTATTTAACATGTATGGGTTTGCTGTGAGAAACAAAGATGATGTTTTGAAACGTTTTGATGTGTTAGACATTGATGATATTTTGTTTTAAATATGTCTGAAGTGTTTCATATGCTTTATTCGTTAGATATCATAAACATGTCTGAAGTGTTTCATATGCTTTATTCGTTAGATATCATAAACATGTCTGAAGTGTTTCATATGCTTTATTCGTTAGATATCATAAACATATCTGAAGTGTTTCATATGCTTTATTCGTTAGATATCATAAATATGTTTGACATATTTGATGAGTAAATTATTTTTGAGTGGATCAGAACAAATGAGCCTTGAGATTTCGCTAGAGTGGCTGCCGGACCAGAGGTTAACTGGCTGGCTGTCATGGCAGTGGTCAAGTGTTTAACCACTGACTGGTTTTTTTAACCGAAGTTTAAAAAAAAATCAAACATTGATGCAATATTGAATGGCATTCCGGTAGGAGATTAGGTAATGAACCATTGACTGACTGGACGGAGATTAAGTAATGAGCATTGACTGACTGGGCGGCGGTTTAGTAATGAACCATTGACTGACTGGGCGGAGATTTAGTAATGGACAATTGACTGATTGGACGGAGATTTAGTAATGAACCATATTGGGCGGAGATTAAGTAATGGACAATTGACTGACTGGGTGGAGATTAAGTAATGAACCATTGACTGACTGGGCGGAGATTAAGTAATGGACAATCGACTGACTGGGCGGAGGTTTAGTAATGAACCATTGACTGACTGGGCAGAGATTAAGTAATGAACCATTGACTGACTGGGCGGAGATTAAGTAATGGACAATTGACTGACTGGGCAGAGATTAAGTAATGAACCATTGACTGACTGGACGGAGATTAAGTAATGGACAATTGACTGAGTGGGCAGAGATTAAGTAATGAACCATTGACAGACTGGGCGGAGATTTAGTAATGAACCATTGACTGACTGGGCAGAGATTAAGTAATGAACCATTGACAGACTGGGCGGAGATTTAGTAATGAACCATTGACTGACTGGGCAGAGATTAAGTAATGAACCATTGACTGACTGGGCAGAGATTAAGTAATGAACCATTGACTGACTGAGCGGAGATTTAGTAATGGACAATTGACTGATTGGACGGAGATTTAGTGATGAACCATTAACTGACTGGACGGAGATTAAGTAATGGACAATCGACTGACTGGGCGGAGATTAAGTAATGAACCATTAACTGACTGGGCAGAGATTAAGTAATAAACCATTGACTGACTGGACGGAGATTAAGTAATGAAACATTGACTGACTGGTCAGAGATTAAGTAGTGAACCATTGACAGACTGAACGGATATTAAGTAATCAACAATAGTTGTTGAGCTTGGGTTCCAGTTTTGAACTCCCCCCCCCCTCCCCCCCTCCCCACCGCCACCACCACCACCACCCCTAAATCCCCTGAGGCCTTGATACTCGCCCTTTTTTTTCCTACATTTGTTTTATCCAATCAGAGACGAAACGTCTGCGTCACAAAACAACCTAATCCGCAAACCGACAAGTGTAAAGGCAGGGTGAAGCATCTTCCGGGAAACAGACTTATCACTTCTTTTGACGTCCGACACCGACAAAAGTACACACTGACTTATAGACACGGTTTGGGACGGGAGGCGGTGCTAGGTCCATGAACTTCTTCATATCCTCTGCTCGCATGTTGTAGTCGTACATGTTTATGGCGTGGCCCCCGGAGTAGAGCTTGAACGCCGGCAAGGTGACATCGTACACACCTTGTTTCATACACAGGAGTCGGTTCTCGGCGCAGTCGACAGCGCCGTAAGCGTGGCCCTCTCTGCGGGTCTCCTGGGCAGCCTGTGGAAGGAAAACAACATCCTAGAGGCATCCCAGCTGGATATTGTAGTCGTGGTTGCTGTTTAACTGCTAATGAGGTGGCTGCTGCTGCAAGAGCTACACCCTTTGCTGGGGTCACTAATAATACCACTACCATAGAGCCACGTCCACTGCTAAAATTATTGGGTGCTTTCTTAATATCCCAACCCAAACAGGGGAAATCCACAAGTCACGGGACAGTCTAATATTTCAGAGGATGGTAGATAGTGCATACAGTCGTGGGACTTAGGCTGTTCTTTCTCGTGGGACATAAGAAGGCTGGGGTTAAGGCTAGTTCTACATATTTTGGGGTCGTTAAAGGCACCAGAAAGCTGTAAAACCCAGTCTTACCACTATTCAAAATGTTGGACTGTCCTGTGACGTCATCTGGGGGTAGGATATTCCGAAAGAACCATTTATTGCTACGATCAACTCTAATTAAATTTAAAAAAAATCTACACTGACTGCTGTTTCTACTATTGAGCCTACTACGGCTTTTAGTGCGACTGCTACTGCTAGTACCACTACTCCTAATACTGCTTCTACTATTACTGCCACGATTCTACTTCTACTCACATTACTAATACTACAAAAAAAAAAAAAAACCACCACTGACCCAACCACTACTACTGCCACCATCAGCACTACCGTTGCTGCCACCGCCACCACCACAAGTATTGCCGTCCCTTCTACTACCACCACAGTAACACATTGTAATATTAGTCACAAAGATACAAACTCTAGTACAGAGGTAACTATTTGTCCATAACAGGAGGAGAATGACAGCCAAGAGGACGTGAGGACGAGATCTCAACCGTACAAGACAGGACAGACCTCGGGGAGAAAACGATCAAAATGGATAACAGGAGTATAGACAAAATTACACGATAAACCAGTGATTCCCAAACTGTGCACTGCAGCACCCCTGGGAGCGACGCGAAATATTCTAAGATACACAAGTTTTCTTTGTCGTTTTTTCTCTTACATACGAACAGTCATACATTTACTTAGGTTAGGCGCCGTAAAAAAAAATTTAAATGAAAAAAAAAAAAAAAAGTGCCGCGACTCAGAAAGGTTTAGGAAACACTGCATGAAACAATGTCACACAAATGTATGAACATGAATACATCAGCTGGGCCCTCTTGGGAACGTAGGACCAGAATGGAGGATCCAGACAAGAGGGAGAGTGACAACATCCCACAGCAAGAGACTGTAATTGACAACTCTTTACACAACATCACACACAAGAGACAGTAATTGACAACTCTTGACACAAACATCACACACAAGGGACAGTAATTGACAACTTTTGAAACAACATCACACACAAGGGACAGTTATTGACAACTCTTGACACAACATCACACACAAGGGACAGTTATTGACAACTCTTGACACAACATCACACACAAGGGACAGTAATTGACAACTCTTGACACAACATCACACACAAGGGACAGTTATTGACAACTCTTGACACAACATCACACACAAGGGACAGTAATTGACAACTCTTGACACAATATCACACACAAGGGACAGTAATTGACATCACATCACACACAAGGGACAGTAATTGACAACTCTTGACACAACATCACACACAAGGGACAGTAATTGACAAACTCTTGACACAACATCACACACAAGAGACAGTAATTGACAACTCTTGACACAACATCACACACAAGGGACAGTAATTGACAACTCTTGACACAACATCACACACAAGAGACAGTAATTGACAACTCTTGACACAACATCACACACAAGGGAGAGTAATTGACAACTCTTGACACAACATCACACACAAGAGACAGTAATTGACAACTCTTGACACAACATCACACACAAGAGACAGTAATTGACAACTCTTGACACAACATCACACACAAGAGACAGTAATTGACAACTCTTGACAAAACATCACACATAAGAGACAGTAATTGACAACTCTTGACACAACATCACACACAAGGGAGAGTAATTGACAACTCTTGACACAACATCACACACTAGAGACAGTAATTGACAACTCTTGACACAACATCACACACAAGGGACAGTAATTGACAACTCTTGACACAACATCACACACAAGGGAGAGTAATTGACAACTCTTGACACAACATCACACACAAGGGACAGTAATTGACAACTCTTGAAACAACATCACACACAAGGGACAGTGATTGACAACTCTTGACACAACATCACACACAAGGGACAGTAATTGACAACTCTTGACACAACATCACACACAAGGAAGAGTAATTGACAACTCTTGACACAACATCACACACAAGGGAGAGTAATTGACAACTTTTGAAACAACATCACACACAAGGGACAGTAATTGACAACTCTTGACACAACATCACACACAAGGGAGAGTAATTGACAACTTTTGAAACAACATCACACACAAGGGACAGTAATTGACAACTCTTGACACAACATCACACACAAGGGACAGTAATTGACAACTTTTGAAACAACATCACACACAAGGGACAGTAATTGACAACTCTTGACACAACATCACACACAAGGGACAGTTATTGACAACTCTTGACACAACATCACACACAAGGGACAGTAATTGACAACTCTTGACACAACATCACACACAAGGGACAGTTATTGACAACTCTTGACACAACATCACACACAAGGGACAGTAATTGACAACTCTTGACACAATATCACACACAAGGGACAGTAATTGACAACTCTTGACACAACATCACACACAAGGGACAGTAATTGACAACTCTTGACACAACATCACACACAAGAGACAGTAATTGACAACTCTTGACACAACATCACACACAAGAGACAGTAATTGACAACTCTTGACACAACATCACACACAAGGGAGAGTAATTGACAACTCTTGACACAACATCACACACAAGAGACAGTAATTGACAACTCTTGACACAACATCACACACAAGAGACAGTAATTGACAACTCTTGACACAACATCACACACAAGAGACAGTAATTGACAACTCTTGACACAACATCACACACAAGGCAGAGTAATTGACAACTCTTGACACAACATCACACACAAGAGACAGTAATTGACAACTCTTGACACAACATCACACACAAGGGAGAGTAATTGACAACTCTTGACACAACATCACACACAAGAGACAGTAATTGACAACTCTTGACACAACATCACACACAAGAGACAGTAATTGACAACTCTTGACACAACATCACACACAAGGGAGAGTAATCGACAACTCTTGACACAACATCACACACAAGAGACAGTAATTGATAACTCTTGACACAACATCACACACAAGGGAGAGTAATTGACAACTCTTGACACAACATCACACACAAAAGACAGTAATTGACAACTCTTGACACAACATCACACACAAGAGACAGTAACTGACAACTCTTGACACAACATCACACACAAGGGAGAGTAATTGACAACTCTTGACACAACATCACACACAAGAGACAGTAATTGACAACTCTTGACACAACATCACACACAAGAGACAGTAACTGACAACTCTTGACACAACATCACACACAAGGGAGAGTAATTGACAACTCTTGACACAACATCACACACAAGAGACAGTAATTGACAACTCTTGACACAACATCACACACAAGGAAGAGTAATTGACAACTCTTGACACAACATCACACACAAGAGACAGTAATTGACAACTCTTGACACAACATCACACACAAGAGACAGTAACTGACAACTCTTGACACAACATCACACACAAGAGACAGTAACTGACAATTCTTGACACAACATCACACACAAGAGACAGTAACTGACAACTCTTGACACAGCATCACACACAAGATACAGTAACTGACAACTCTTGACACAACATCACACACAAGAGACAGTAACTGAAAACTCTTGACACAACATCACACACAAGAGACAGTAACTGACAACTCTTATTCATATTTCAAGACTAAACACTGCCCAGGAGCGAACACCTGCTAAGTAAACAAGGTCAACCTAAGCAGTGTTGCTCACCTTTATGAAAGAGTTCTTGGCTGTCTCCGAGTTTTCCTTGGTCTTCTTATAGAAAAACACCATCGTGGCATCCTTGCCCCGGATAAAGTTGTCAAACATTCGGTCGTTTAAGGCGATCACTTCCGGGATGCCAACATAAGGGTCCGGTGTGGTTGTGGCGACTATGGGTGGGTCTTTGCCAGTATACTCGGTTTTTTTGGGCCTGTACCTGGCGCTAGCTTTCAGCATGCCTGGTTTCAGGGGTGGGGGAGGGGAGGGAATCGACACCGGACAACGTTTGTGGTTGCTGACTGTTTCAACAGGCAGAAGGCTAAGTGAGATGTTCTATGGCAATCAGGTGGGAGATGGGTAACTGTGGGAAGAGAAAAGCCGTGGACCGGCCTAACTCCCTGTCGGCGGTCTGAGGGACCGGACACTGAATGACGTCATGTTTTTGGTGAGACAAGAAATTGGTGCCATCTATGTACGGGTCACTTCGGTGTGCAACTAATCTCTCATTGACACTCTTCTACTTTGTAAAGTCCATTTCTTCTTCTTTTTTCTTCTGTGTTCGACATCAGTTTTGTTAAACATTGAGTCCCGTCTATGTCACAAATAGGATTGTGCGTTTGAGGTCGCCACCGGTCCCCCATAACTTCTCTTTGAATGTGAATCCCCTGGGCCAGATTCACAGTCTTTGCTGGGAGAGGTAAGGGCGGTACTGCAGTACATGCCTAGAGGTCTGTCTTTCTGCTCCACAATCACAGGCATCAGATTCTTTTATGCCTATCCTGTACAGGTGTGCTCAAAGACCGAAGTCTAAAAATTGATGTTTGTTCTTTCCTGTTGGGTTTGTTTATGCTGTCACTCTCTGGTCTGTAATCTCCATTCTGCCGTCTCCACTCTCGCTTGAAAGACTGCTTTAGCGCTGTTTAGGTTTCCTTGTAGCTGTGTGGTGGATGAGTTTGTGAAAGATTACTCCCAGCTAAAGTCCATTTGATAAGCAGCAGAAGTAGTTGAAACAGTTTCCTGTTCGAGGCATCAAGATGATCATTGATTTCACGAACGTCAATGTGAGGAGTGCTGCCTCTTTAAGGGTTCTCAGGCACTCTGTTTTTCCTTATCGTTCTTACCTACACAAGACCGCACAGACACACAGAGAGAGAGAGAGAGAGAGAGAGAGAGAGAGAGAGAGAGAGAGAGAGAGAGAGAGAGGGGGGGGAGAAACACACACCCTCGGACACACAAACACTCAAACTTATACAATTAATCATACCTACGTTCATCATTATTATCAGTTGCCATGCCGACTGGCGTGGGCAATCATGCCTCTCCATAATCTGCGATCTCCTGCAGCATATTTCAGTTCGTGTGCCGACACACCTCCATGCTATGCAACAAGACTGTCAAGAATATTCTCTCGCTGTCTTCCTCTGTCCCTTCTTCAACAATGATCACTGTTTCCTCGAGATATCCTACTTTCATATATACTTACAATCGTACCAACACAGTCTGACGCATTCACAAATACATACATATCACACATTCACATATCACACAAAAACATGTCACACATATACCGCTTATAAAAAAAAAAATAGATAATGCAATATCGACAATTAACTAACTACGTTTAAAGTGGCATACAATCAATTGAAAGTATGAACTAAAAAAAAACGATTGATTAAATTAATGAAAACTATTTGTATTTTTCAGATCAAGTGGAAGATGGTTGCATAAATGAGCAGCAGAATATGCTGAACTTGTTTTCTACAAATGTTCCTAGGTTTAGGCAAATGTAATGAGCTTAGTCGCTCGATGTTCGTAGGATTTGATTTAATCAACTGGGAAAGGCAGTTTGCAATATTCTATTTTATGAACACATTTTACCTTTTTAAAAAAATATAAACGTTTGCTAAATGGATGTAGTCCTAGATGGCTGTAGAGATTATTTTTATTGATATGTTTTCTAACTGAAACTAGAGCCCGGCTCTCTGGCGTAGTTGGCTAAACCGGATTGCGCCGTGACCGGGTGACGACCTCCTTGTGGTCCGGGTTCACTCCCGGGGGTAGGCAGAAAAGCCACATTTCTCCCAGATTTACGGTATTTACAGTGGAATCAAGGCCGGAAAGTTGCAATATCCATAATACCGAGCCTTTCTTTTGTCAAAATCTGCTTGTGCCGCTAGGCGTCGCAGTCTATCAGATGATCGGCAACCGAGCCAGGGCGCGCTCAGTCGCTTCATATGCCGTGATGTTATGAAGTCTCAAGTTGTCAGTTACTCCTTCAATCCATCTTCTTCTTGGTCTTCCCCTGCCTCTTGGTGTTTCGATTTTCATGTTGTATGCTCTTGATGCTGGCATCGTTGGTTCCATTCTCATTAGGTGACCAATCCATTTCATTCTTTGCTTCTCAATAAATTTAACGATGGGTATGGTTCCAATAGTTCTTGTAATCACATCGTTTCTCACTCGATCTCTTCTGGTTTTATTCGCAGCCATTCTCAAACATCTCATTTCACAGGTGGTTAATACCGAGCCTAAGGGTTAAAAATTCATGGCTTCTGGATACTAAAACAAACAAACTGAAACCAGCGCGAAATGCGATTTTGAAGGGAACTTAATATTTTAACATTAGACTTGACGCAAAGATCGAAATGAGTTTGGATGTAGGACGCGTAAAATATTGTTCGTGTATTTTTATCCAGAAAGTGCTGATAAACTTTTTGTGTACGTACGTTAAATGACGGTCGATGGTAAGGCCTAATGTTTTGTGTTTCCTTTGAATTCACCATAGGTATTTTAACAATATAGAGCTCAAGTGGTATATAACAGACGCGACCGGTCATTTTAGAAGAGAGTAGAAACGAGATGGGAGCTGGGACACACTGGAATAGAAAATGTGGACACCAGGGAAATAGCTAGTTAAAGAACAACCCACAATTTTTGAAGCTCCCGTCTTTCACAGTAAAAATAAAGATACATTATTGTAGAACTACTATACATTCTTGTAGAACTACTATACATTCTTGTAGAACTACTATACATTCTTGTAGAACCACTATACATTCTTGTAGAACTACTATACATTCTTGTAGAACTACTATACATTCTTGTAGAACCACTATACATTCTTGTAGAACCACTATACATTCTTGTAGAACTACTATACATTCTTGTAGAACTACTATACATTCTTGTAGAACTACTATACATTCTTGTAGAACTACTATACATTCTTGTAGAACTACTATACATTCTTGTAGAACTACTATACATTCTTGTAGAACTACTATACATTCTTGTAGAACTACTATACATTCCTGTAGAACTACTTACTATACATTCTTGTAGAACCACTATACATTCTTGTAGAACTACTATACATTCTTGTAGAACTACTATACATTCTTGTAGAACTACTATACATTCTTGTAGAACTACTATACATTCTTGTAGAACTACTATACATTCTTGTAGAACCACTATACATTCTTGTAGAACCACTATACATTCTTGTAGAACTACTATACATTTTTGTAGAACTACTATACATTCTTGTAGAACTACTATACATTCTTGTAGAACTACTATACATTCTTGTAGAACCACTATACATTCTTGTAGAACCACTATACATTCTTGTAGAACCACTATACATTCTTGTAGAACTACTATACATTCTTGTAGAACCACAATACATTCTTGTAGAACTATTATATATTCTTGTAGAACTACTATACATTCTTGTAGAACTACTATAAATTCTTGTAGAACTACTATGCATTCTTGTAGAACTAATATACATTCTTGTAGAACTAATATACATTCTTGTAGAACTACTATACATTCTTGTAGAACTACTATACATTCTTGTAGAACTTCTATACATTCTTGTAGAACTACTATACATTCTTGTAGAACTACTATACATTCTTGTAGAACTACTTTACATTCTTGTAGAACCACTATACATTCTTGTAGAACCACTATACATTCTTGTAGAACTACTATACATTCTTGTAGAACTAGTATACATTCTTGTAGAACTACTATACATTCTTGTAGAACTACTATACATTCTTGTAGAACTACTATACATTCTTGTAGAACTACTGTACATTCTTGTAGAACTACTATACATTCTTGTAGAACTACTATACATTCTTGTAGAACTACTATACATTCTTGTAGAACTACTATACATACTTATGGTCAAAATGAGAACTACAACACCGTATATATTAATCAATAACCGTCTTGGGGACAACAAAGTGTTGTTGAAAAACCCACGGGACATATCAAACATTCCATCTAAAGAATGACATTATCAGCCATCATGAGCAATGGCGAATGGTCATGAACAAACAATCTCTTCTTTCACTCTGATGTATTGAATGTTCCGTTACTCCAACGTACATCTCTGACATACTCCAACATACTCCAACATACATCTCTAACATCCACGACCGCTACGGCAGCCATGAAAGCCGTCCTGGGTTAGCCCGAAACCACCTCGCCAACAGGGCTCTGGTAAAGCTGCGACAGGCCTTGCAAGCCGGCGATGGATTTAATACGGCTACAGCAAGTACAATGAGATATAAACAGACTGATCAAATGGCATTTAAATACACAGAAAGCAAATCAAACGGTTTGCCCACTCGTAGAAAATGCCTTCTGATGCTATACCATTCAACGTAATTACCAAAACAGGAGCTGGAAGTAGAGCAAGAGGTAGACTGAAAACAGTATGGGAAGATAACATCAAAGAAACTCTACAGCACCACGATGTTTCTATGGTCGAAGCAGCCAGAAGAGTGCGAAGCAGGACCTTATTTCTACCTCGACATCTGTAGTGGTAAATAGGAAGTAAGACTTTCCAAAATGATTTGATGAAAGGCCTATGAAGGCACATTTGTTCTCCGCCTCACTGGAGTAAGGTTACTTTTCAGCATCAGTAACAGGCAGGCTACAGTCTTTCAGATACTCAGTCGGTGCAGGTTCTACGTTCTGTTCCTCTCCCAAATCAGACTGAAAAATGTCCACAAACAGCATAATAAGCCGGATGAAGTACTGGTCTAGCGGCAATCCCCCAATGGCTGCAGAAGTGTTGTCTTGAGGCAATCCCTGACTGGCTTCAGAAATACTGAACTTGAGGCAATCCCTGACTGGCTTCAGAAATACTGAACTTGAAGCAATCCCTGACTGGCTTCAGAAATACTGAACTTGAAGCAATCCCTGACTGGCTT